CTCCAGGTATTCCCCTTACATATATGTTATATCTTTTGTAGTTCTCCCAAAGCTCTTGGATATTCTGTTGTATGTTTTCAGTCTTTCTTCTTTTTGCTTTTTGGTTTTTGAGGATCCTATTGATATATCCTCTAGCTCAGAGATTCTTTTCTCAGCCATGTTCAGTCTACTAATGAGCCCATCAAAGGCATCCTTCATTTCTGTTACAGTGTTTTTTATCTCTAGCAACTCTTTTTGGTTCTTTGTATTTCCATTTCTCTGTTTACATCACTCATCTGCTCTTGCATGCTGTCTACTTTATCCATTAGAGCCCTTAGCCTATTAATCATAGTTGTTTTAAATTCCTGGTCTGGTAATTCCAACATCCCTGTCATGTCTGGTTCTGATGTTTACTCTATCTCTTCAAATTGTGTTTTTCTTTTTTTTGCCTTTTGGTATGCCTCATAATTTTTTCTTGATAGCTGGATGTGATGTATCAGGTACAAGGAACTGCTGTAAATAGGTCTGTAATAATGTGATGGTGAGGTGTAAGGGGGAAGGGGAACATTCCATAGTCCTGTGATTCTCAGTTTTTTAGTGAGCCTATGCATCTAGACTGTGAACTTCACAAGTGTTTCTCAGTTTTTTCTCGCCCTCTAGGTGTCACAGGATGGCTAGAATGCTCTGGAGTTGGGTATTTCCTTCTACCTCGGGGCTAGAGCCTGCTGGAATTGGGTATTTCCCTTCCTCCAGGTCAGTTAGGCTCTGATAATAACCCAACAGGTTAGTCTCTCACTAATTAGTTTTCCCTGATGGAGGGCCTTGTTAAGAAGAACGGAGAGCTGTTAAGTATTTCAAAATGGTTCTTTTTCCCCTCCCACTGCCAGAAGCATGAGGGGATTTTTCTCTGATATTTACTGTGGGAATCTGTTCAAGATCCTGGAGGTAAATCTCAAAATTTACTGTGGGAAAACATGACTGTTTTCCCCTGGAGTTTTCAACTCTCAGACTTGTTCACACTAAGCTTACAGCAATTTGTCAATTACAGTTCAGATTTTCCTAGTCCGGCAGTGGTTCCCAGTGTTGAGTCTCTGCACTAGTAACCTGTGACTCCCTGTATTTCCCTGTTTCTCTAATCTTGGGGGCAGTGGTTTGCCCTGTGTCCTTTCCTATCTTACACATCCAGAAAGAGTTGTTTATTTTTCAGTCTTTTCACTTTTTGTTAGGATGGAATGATGATTTACAAGCTCCTTACATTCAAAACTAGAAATGGAAGTCCTTGATAGTGCCTTTTAGTGGAAAAAAATTTCAATTTTTATGAATTCTAATTTGTCTATATTTTCTTTTGTTGCCTGTGCCTTTGGTATCATGTCCAAGAAATCAATGCCAAATCCAATGTCATGAAGATTTTGACCTATGTTTTCTTCTAAGAATGTTATAGTTTTAGGTTTTACTTTTAGGTCATGGATCCATTTTGAGTTAATTTTTGTATGTGGTGTTAGGTAAGGGTATAACTTCATTCTTTTGCACATGGATATGCTGTTTTCCTAGCACCATTTGTTGAAAACACTGTCTTTCCTCTCTATTAAATAGTCTTGGCACCCTTACTGAAAATCATTTCACCACATATGTGAGGATTTATTTTTGGACTCTCCATTCTATTCCATTGGTCTGTCTTTATGCCATTACCATACAGTTTTGATTACTGTAGCTTTGTAGTAAGTTCTGAAATCAGGAAGTATGAGTTCTCCAGCTTTGTTCTTTTTTAGGATTGTTTTGGCTATCTGGGGTCCCTTGAGATTCCATAAGAATTTTAGGATGGGTTTTTCTATTTTTGCAAAAATCATCATTGGAATTTTGAAAGGGATTACATTAAATCTGTAGATCACTTTGGGTAGTATTGACATCTTAACAATTATAAGTCTTCCAATCCATAAACATAAGCTGTCTTTCCATTTACTTATGTGTTCTTTAGTTTCTTTCAGAAATGTTTTTTGTTGTTTTCATCATCAAAGTCTTTCACCTCAGTTGAGTTAATTCCTAATTTTTTTATGATACTGTAATTGGACTTGTTTTCTTAATTTCCTGTTTAAATTGTTCATTCTTAGTGTAGAGTAATGCAACTACTTTTTGTGTGTTGACTTTGTATCCTGCCACTTTATTGAATCATTTATTAATCTTAAGTTTTTTGTGTAATCTTCAGAGTTTGCTACATATAAGATCACATCATCTGTGAACAGAGATAAGTTTACTTTTTCCTTCCCAATTTGGAAGCCTTTTATTTTATTTTTCTTGCCCAATTGCTCTAGCTAGAACATCCAGTACTATGTTGAGTAGAAGAGGTAATCCTTGCCTTGTTCCTGATCTTAGAGGAAAAACTTTCATCATTGAATATAATGTTCACTGTGGGTTTTTGGCATTTTATTATGTTGAGGTAGCTTCCTTCTATTCCTAAGATTTTGAGTGTTTTTATCATGAAAGGGTATTGAATTTTGTCAAATGCTTTTTCTGAACCTATTGAGATGATCATGTGGTTTTTTTCTCTTTGTTTTGTTAATGTGGTATATTACATTGATCAATTTATGTATGTTGAACCATCCTTGCATTCCAGGAACAAATCCTACTTGCTTATTGTGTATAATCCTTTAACATGCTGCTGAACTTAGTTTTCTAATATTTTTTTGAGGATTTTAGCAACAATGTTCATAAGAATATTGATCTGTAGTTTTCTTTTCTTGTAGTGTCTTTGTCTGCCTTTGGTATCAGGGTAATGCTGGCCTCAAAGCATGAATTTGAAAGTATTCCTTCCTATTCGATTTTTTGGAAAATTTTGAGAAAGATTGGTATTATTTCTTCTTTAAATGTTTGGTAGAATTCACCAGTGAAGACATTGGATCAAGGACTTTTATTTGTCAGAAGATTTTTTTTATTACTGATTCAATCTTCTTACTAGTTATGGGTCTATTCAGATTCCATAGGTATTTTCTTTGTGGTTACTGTGGAGAGTACATTTAATATCTTAAAGTTATAACACTCTAATTTGAGTTTATACCAGCTTAACTTCAATAACATACAAACACTCTGCTCTTTTAACAGCTCTGATAACACTTTTTTTCAAGGCATTATACTCCCTTTTTTTTTTCCTTGAGGATAGTATTGAGTAGCCTTTTATTTTCATGATCACTACCATGATAATGAAATCCATGGTTAACGATTGTTTTATGTTTCAATTAAGTGTCATCTGATCATTGTAAATGACATTTTTCTAATATTGAGAATATTTTCAAACTAAACAGCTTTCATCAGAAGAAAGACAGAGGATGAAACATTACAATGGTTTGTGGTTGAAATTATACTTAAAGATTATTTTGGTTCTCAATATTAAAGTATGATAATTATATAATTTTCAGTTAAATATAGTATTTTTAAAAGGTAAAATAAACTTTTATCTGTAAAAAACAAAATATATTTAATTAAACAGTTTTACATGTGAAATATTTGAATATCAGTGGATTGTGGTTAGCATTTATTCTATGTATTCTTCATAGTAATAAAATGTATCACCAAGAAACTTATAACACATTAAAGTACCTACACATTCAAATATTGACAGTATTGTCTAAATCTACTGATATTTAGAAAAGTTCCAAGTTCTGAATTTTCTTAATTTTGAGGATATTGATGTATCTTATATTGCTGTATCTTTTGTAATAAAGTTATTACTAATGAACTATTAAAATTATAGCTGGTTTTAAAAAAATAAAATAGCATCATGTTTTATCTATAGTTTAATTATCAAATAAACAATGATTTGGGCTTTCTAATTATGAAGACATAATATATTAATCCTTATTTATATTAATATCCTTAAATATCCATAGTACTTAAACTAGAACTGTTAATGCCATTCTTTAAAAGATTAACTAGCGATAGTTTGTTCAGACCACATTTCTTAGTCAAATTTTGATGTTGTTAATGGGGTTATGATTATGAATTGGACTAAAGTTGAAAGAAAAGTTTGTTAATAAGTTATTCTCAAATATTTTCTTCTGAAAACCTAATCATGTTAGATTTACATTTAAATTTTTAACTATGCATTATTATAAAATTCTCAGATATGTGTACTTGATATTGATTCAATATTCATATTATTTTTATTGAAATATGACAATGTTTTGTCTTAATATGAAAAAAAGTATGGCTGAAAGTTTGATGTAGGAATAAAGATCCAAAGGACACTAATTCAATTTGGAATAATGACTTTTGGAGGTCAAAGTTATAGTTCAGCACTTAGATGATACACAACAAGTGACAAAGGGAAATGTCCCAAATATCATTATTCTAATATTTAAAGTATCAGAAAACGATGTCATTGTTCATACAGCATTTAAGGAATTTTAAATGTATTTCAGAAAGATTTCTAAATTTTTCATATGTAAGTACCTGCTAGTGATGTGTCACTTAAAAAATAAATACCCAAATTATCCTAGAATAAGGTGAATTTCAGTTGTCAAAATGCCTTATCTTAAAACTCCAGTATTGTTTCAAATATTTAATAATAAAAATATATGAGCTGATAAATTGTTTTAAATATAAAGATGTAAAGTTATTTACGCATATCTTGATTTTCCCAAAATCCAATTGTAATATCTTTGTGATAACAGCTAAAGGAAAATACTGAATTACATACTCTCAAGTGAGATTTGAAATGTCATAGTCCTTAAAGGACATAAAATTGAAAATAATTGCATTGAGTAAATTGCAAATGAATATAGAGGCTATTTTGGAAATCAGTGAATGAATCTAAAAGCCACACCATTAGCCACATGATGTCGCTGTATACCACAAGTCTTGGCAGTGGAAATGTACTGATCACCAAAAACTAAAGGAGGAAGCTCCATTTTGTCACAACCCGAGAGAAGACAAAAACGGTAAGGAGATAAATTATTGAAAATATGAAGTAAGAAAAGCGTGAGTTTGAAGTAAGGTGAGAGCAGTACGAAAGGTGTAGTGCTTTTGCGATGCTGTTTTCCAGGCGAGGAGGCAAGGGAGCCCGGCGCCTGCTGCTCTCACTTCTGCTTCTCGCAGCCTGGAAGGCGGGGAGCGGCCAGGTCCATTACTCGGTTTCCGAGGAGGCCAAACACGGCACCTTCGTGGGCCGCATCGCGCAGGACCTGGGGCTGGAGCTGGCGGAGCTGGTGCCGCGCCTGTTCCGGGTGGCGTCCAAAGGCCGCGGGGACCTTCTGGAGGTAAATCTGCAGAATGGCATTTTGTTTGTGAATTCTCGGATCGACCGGGAAGAGCTGTGCGGGCGGAGCCTGGAGTGCAGCATCCACCTGGAGGTGATCGTGGAGAGGCCGCTGCAGGTTTTCCATGTGGAGGTGGAAGTGAAGGACGTTAATGATAATCCACCAGTCTTCCGAGAGAGAGAACAAAGGTTCTTTATTCCTGAATCTAGACTGCTGGATTCACGTTTCCCGATAGAGGGCGCTGCTGATGCGGACATTGGTACCAATGCTCTTCTAACATACACCCTCAGCCCCAGTGATTATTTCTCTTTGGATGTACAGGCAAGTGATGAATTGAGTAAGTCACTTTCGCTTGAATTGAGGAAATCTTTGGACAGAGAAGAAACACCAGAACTTCATTTATTATTGACAGCCACTGATGGGGGCAAACCAGAGCTGGAAGGTACAGTTCAACTGCTGATCACTGTGCTCGATGTTAATGATAACGCCCCATTGTTTTCTCAGGCCTTGTACAGAGTCCACTTATCAGAGACTACGGCAAAGGGAACATTAGTGACCATATTAAACGCCTCTGACGCTGACGAAGGTGTAAATGGGGAAATTGTCTTTTCCTTTGGCACTGATGTTCCTCTTAATGTTCAAAAAAACTTCAAAATTGATTCCAGCTCAGGAGAAATTAGGCTAATTGGTAGATTGGATTATGAAGAGACAAAATCCTACGAAATTCAGGTAAAAGCAGTTGATAAAGGAAGTCCTCCAATGTCAAATCACTGCAAGGTTTTAGTGAAAGTGCTGGATGTAAATGATAATGCTCCAGAACTGGCGGTCACGTCCCTGTCTTTGCCGGTCAGAGAGGACGCTCCTCTCAGCACCGTCGTAGCCTTCATGTCCGTGTCCGACCGTGATTCCGGTGCCAACGGGCAGGTGACCTGCACCCTGACGCCCCATGTCCCCTTCAAGCTGATGTCCACCTTCAAGAATTACTATTCTCTGGTGCTGGACAGCGCTTTGGACCGCGAGAGCACGGCGAACTACGAGGTGGTGGTGACCGCGCGGGACGGGGGATCGCCTTCGCTGTCGGCCACCGCCAGCGTGTCCGTGGAGGTGGCCGACGTGAACGACAACGCGCCGGCGTTCGCGCAGCCCGAGTACACGGTGTTCGTGAAGGAGAACAACCCGCCCGGCTGCCACATCTTCACGGTGTCTGCGCGGGACGCGGACGCGCAGGAGAACGCGCGGGTGTCCTACTCGCTGGTGGAGCGGCGGGT